AATCTTATTATTATTAATATCTAAGGATTTAATATTATACTAGAGTAACTATAGTTAAAGGAAGTTAATCCTATAATTAACTAGTGAATTACTATCTAGACTTATTAGTATAAGTATAATATAGATATAATAAAAGAAGTTAGTCTAAAGAAGATCCTATAATTAGGTAAGACTTAAGAGATCGAGATGATTAGAGTCGCTATAATAACTAGACTATTTAATACTATAGATAAAGAGTAGAGTACGTAAGTTATAGTCGAACTCCTAGGATATCTCTAGGACTATATTAATATAGCTAATAAGATAGAACTCGCGAAATTATTAATATCTATACGCGTTAAGTATATAATTACTATTAAAGAAGATTAAAGATATTCCGTATAGACTAATTTACTCTCTTAGCGCGGAAGAACTTAAAGCACTATATAAGTATATTAGGAAATTCCTAACTAGAGGCTAGATCCGTAAGAGTAAGTTACTTATTAAAGTATCTATTCTATTTATAGTAAAGAAGAATAGAGAGTTCTATCTCTATATAAATTATTAAGAACTTGATTAGATTATAATTAAGAATTAATATCTCTTATCGCTAATTAGCGAGATACTTAATAGACTTAATAAAGTTATAGTTTATATATAGCTTAATCTTAGAGTTATTTATTATTAAATATCTATTATAAGAAAGAACTAATAGAAGATTACGTTTCGTACGCGATATAATTACTTTAAGTATATAATTATATCTTTTAAGCTTATAAATATACTAATAACTTTTTAAGTTTATATTAATAAGATATTAGATAATCTACTTAATATAATATATATAATATATATAAATAATATTCTTATCTATAATAAAACTATTAAAGAGTATATAAAATATATATAACTTATCTTTAAGAGACTCTAATAATATAAGTTATATTATTAATGGTGTAGATACTTTAGGAAAACGAGTCTCCCGCGTTCGGCTTGGCGCGTGGCTGGTGCCGGCCGCCGCTATAAAACGACGTCTCTCTTCTCCCCTCCTCCTACGTCCCTGATTATTTCCCTCGCGCACCACCACCCCCTTCTGCTGCCTCCACTCCTATGTGGCCCCCGCGGGTCGCGTCCGGCTCCATCGACCGATCCTGCTACAATGCGACCTCGTACGCCTGGGTCCCCTGTCGGGTGCGTCGGGCGTCCTCTGCGCCGTGGGATACCACGCCAGAACTGATCTTTCCGTCCCTATCGCCCATTCCATACCGCTGTTAGTGGTCTACGCGGGCTACGGCACCTGAGCATCGAACGAAGCGAGGTGAGGCACTGGCATGGTGAGGCCACGGACTCCTCGCTCGCTCAACGAAGGCTACCATTTTGGGGATTCTGCCGACCAGATCTCTACGACCTGGCTTCTTGGAAAATACCATCTCCGTCCCGCGTTCATCACGGGTTCGGTTTCGCTAGCACTCTGCAAGACGTATCGCCGACACTGCCGCACACTGATCGCCTGGCCCCCTTGTGGCGGCTCTTGTCCCCAGCTGAAACATTGAGACGCTACGTGGACTGGACATGGATGCCAATTCTCCCACGGAGGGGAGGAGCCGGCCGCTGCCTGGATTCAGCCAAATATCGCCTCGGGCGGTCCATGCACTCCCTCCGAGCGGTAATTGGCCTCCTTCGATCCCAAGACAACACGGAGGGGCCTCAAAGATTGCCACCGTCACCCCCAGACGCGTGAAAGCCCCTGAAAGCTGCAGAGTTCTCCAAGTTCGGGCGCTCGTCGAGTATTTCGTGGCGAGCCATGTTGTCCAGGGATCCCGGCCGCTCGCGCTGGCCTTGTCGTGCCGCATACCCGTCCCAGACAAGGCGCCAGAGTGAGCACGCGGCAGGGTTGGCGAGACCTTCTGGTCAAGGGCTTCTTGTGACGCTCTGGAACGCCCCCTCTCGGCCAACTTCGAAAATGGTCACATCTCCGACGCTACTGTCCAGAGAGCGTGTCTTCCAGAAATGTACAAGCTGGCCAACCGGTGTCGATGAGTGGCCAGCCAGCCGGATCGGCCGATGAGCTCAAGGCACCGCCCTCGGGCTACATTGCCCGGTTGTTGACCCAACGAGAGGCGGGATGATGAGTGGGCAACGCTGGGCGGAGCCGACCGCGACCGCAGCTAACGGTGATAACACTTCTGGCAGCCGAGCCTTCAGCCAGGATAGTGTGGGCCAATTTTCAAGTCTGCCTTGCTGTTTGCCCAGTCCACGGCAAATCAAGAACCCGACCTCATCGCAAATCAGGCAACACTACTTCCACAAAGAGCTACTCGTCAACCAGACTAGGTCGGGGACGACCTTGTGTCTGAAAGAGCGTCGCCTCTTTCCGACTCAGGCAACGAGTCGTTTGCGCGGAGACCTGGCGATTTTAGGAAGTGGTCCCTAAGTACCTCAAAGTCTCTCTTCCCATACTTGAGAAGGAAAGTCCGATACCCCGATGAGGGGAAACCTGAGACGAGAGCGGCCAGATGCCGCCACCAAAGTGACTTGGCACCCATCCATTTCGAGGAGGCTCAAATTTCAAGGAGCGACGAGGACTAGCCTAGTGTGCTGGCTATAAAAGGTCAGGATAATTCCCCTTCCGGTCCTTCAGAGGTGCTGTACAGTACGCTCCTTTTCTTCGGGATGACTTCCACCTTCAGAGTCGCCCAATCGGGTTGCCAACTCAACATCGTCCCTTATACTGGCCCTCCCCCTCCAAAACCAAAACGGCTCCGGGCCCCACCGCCACAAGAAATGAACGTTGAAGACTATACTCTACCAGATCTCCCGTCGAACGGCGTCTTCGATCACGTCGATAACGGACCGAGTCCAGATAGGGTTACGGATTGTGACCTCACAGCTTCGATTGACGTTGTGCGGGGAGGCTCTGTGCCTCCCACACACGATTCAGGGAGTATGGACGTCGATTCACTAGGTAAGACCCTATAAACCAGCCGACGAGTTGACTACAGTTCAAGTTTCTCCGCCGACCTCTGTTCTGTCGCAGCAGAAATGCGTGTGCATGACCTGTCCTACGAGCCCGCCCCGATTTTATCAAGCCCAGTACGTGCGCTCAAGCCTGACTTGGCGTCTCGAGGGTTACGAAAATCTTCGTTGACTGAGGAGATCCATATCACCAAGGCCGAGCAAGGTGCGTTAGTCAATGGCTAGTATCTTACCGTTCTGATCAGCCTTTAGCTGTGGACGGTCAAGATGTCGACAAGGAAAACCCTACACCTGCTAGAACCACCTCTACGGAGAGTCTACCATGGAATGCTAGTCGAAAGGACGGCGGGTTCAGCTCTGACTCTGAAGACGAAGGATTTACAGCTGAAGATCCTGTGGATGAGCGTCTTCCGAAGGTATGTTCTATCGACGAAAATCGTGGGAGCGAAAGCCAAAGGGGCGTCCGGAACACCTCTAGTGGTGAACCACGTGAGCCACAGACTCTATTTGACCACGTGACCCCGAGCGATTCTGACATCAGCAATTTGGGGTTCCGGGCTCTAGCGGGTCGAGAAGAAGGCGCGCTTCAATTAGCAAAACCGGGACTGGAGATAGTGGTCCCGGGTCGGTATATCCCATATGGGCAGTCCACCCCGAAATCGATTCCCTTATCTCAGGCTTCCTCGAAGACAAGAACTCGGGCTCTTTCCAAAGTTGAAAATCCATCGTCAAAGAGGAAGCGTGGACGACCTTCGACAATGGTTCGTACTATCACCAAACGACGATCTTGGCAGGCCTCTCGGGCGACTGTCAGAGCTGGCGTGTCGTCTTCTGATTCTAGCTACGACGACACTTCTGATGTCGATACAGTGGCCGATGTCAGAAAGCGACCACGAGCGAGGCAACTCCCGAAAATGTCTCAGGTCCGCACCGGATCCAAATGGAGGGGACCACGCAGGGACCGCGCCAGCTCCGCAGGCATCGGCTCACATCCAACGGCAGACCCAGAGGGTAGGGACGGCCGAGCCTTGCCTCAGTCTTCTGATGTCGCTCAAGGCCACGGCGCCTCGGCAGCCTACACTACTCCACTCGAGCCTAGGTGCAATGTTCATGCTGCGGCGTCGACTGAGAGCGCCGTCCTGACAGGTGTCCTCGCTGACATAGCCAGCATTGAACCCTTACTGAAATCGTCCGCTGCCTGGGGCCTCGCTGGTGATCCCTCTTCCACTCGACTAGTCAGCGCCACCATCAAACCATATACCGGGGAGCAATGGCAACTGACTGCTACCTTCGCTCGCGTCCCCGGAGGCGAGAAATCGCTCGCTGAACTTGGCTGTCATGCCAACGACTACTGTGCGAGCGACAGCGATGATCAGTCGGGCAGTTTATTTAGCCTTCACCATAAATCCTCCGAAGACGAATCCTCCGAAGCCGAATTCGGCAATTTGACTCCACCCATGGGGCGACGTCTGTGGAGGGAAGATGAGGACAAGAGGTTGATCAGATTGATGCGACGCGGCGAGCGATGGCATTGGGTCGTGAAACAGTTCCCCGGCCGTACGGAGGGGTCTATCAAGAACCATTGGTATGCTAAGCTCGCACCGCGCCAAGTCCGAAGGTGGACAAGAGACAAGTGACGGACAAGCAGACTACGCGCGTATCATGATAGGAACGGTGTGCGCCACGCGATGGAATTGATGAATTGTAGTACGAAGGACTGTCTGGAAGGTTTGCAGGAACGATAACAATGAGATAGGCGCAGGTAGTGACCAACGTAGTCGCATGCCCGCGCGAGTTGCCGGCGATCGTGACAGTGCAGGTGCTGTGAAGAAGGGAGGCTTGAAGGGGATGAATAGGCCATCGTGTGCACTGTTTATTCGTCAAACGCGTCACTCATCATGACAGGAATGCATTGAAAGACCTAAGGGATAACTTCAGTTCGATTTTCTCTCTCGAAGTAGTATCCATCTCGGGCGGACGAGACTTTGTTCGGTGTGCTGCGCGGCTAAGTCGTTGCTGACCTGAACGTATTTGATACCGCAGGCCATCTCAGCTGTAGAACCTTTGAGGCACGCGCCGTCCAAATGAAGACCACGCCCAAGACCTGTATGGCTATGTAACCAGAAGCACATGTATCGAGTAACGATTATGGTCTAGACTTGTGATACCTCCTGTGCATTACACTCCCAGACCACTTGCCGTCGTTTCCAGCATTGGTATCCTCTCGAGGCAATATTAGTTCTCGACCTCCTACGCTGGAAGGTTCAAAGATATCCTCCACCAGGCGCAGTTTGAGTCCACGTGTGCAAGCTGCCTCATGTAGACCTCTCAACGCAGCCATTTCTTTCTCACAGTCCATCTGGTTAGGCTGCCATTGAACGCAGAGGAGGGTGAGCAACGGCGTCTGCGTCTTCCGGTTAATTAATGAGAGCAAAGCTGACCAAATGTCCTTCAGTCGTCGACTTTCTTGACGCTCTTTTAGGTACAGCGTCAACTCTCCGAGATACGGTGGAAGAAATGTGCTCAAGTTTGAGTCCATGAATGGTGGCTGTAGAATCAATGTTGAGGGCATCCGAAGCTTCTCCATTTGGCGAAATTTTGTCATGTCGAACTTTCCTTCCATATCCAAGGGATTCCACATCCAATGGATTCCACCAAAAGAAATCCAGGTCTTGTAGAGTTTTTCCCGCGCTTTCACCTAGCACCTTTACAATTTCGCACTGTTCTCCTTCATCATCATCGTCTCGAGCCCACCATAGTCGAAGCCTTTGAAGGTTAGTACAGGCTCGGAGTAGCGTCAAAAGGCACTTACCTCTAATTGAAACAGAAGCTAGATTAAGATCTCGGATCGGCAGGACAGTTGGACACCCGGCTTTATTATTGAAAAAGCTGAAACGAACGGCGAGACCGGACGACTTGAAAGTCTTTAAGGATGGTTGAAGGAGAAATGGGGAAATCGCAACTCTCTCCTCGTCGTAGCGGCTGTCGATGGTGATCTTGGATAGGTCGACAAAAAGCTTTTTTTGAAGAGCGAATTTCATGAGGTATACGACGGGAGGTGGTGTCCAAGGTACATTCAAGCTAAGCTCTGTAAGCTTGGATAGCTGCAAGACCAGCAAGGCAAGCCGGTACTCTTCCCCCAAGCCTTCTTGTATACTGTACTTATAGCCTTCGTCCCTCGTAGCGAGATAATTGAGGAATGGAATGGTTCGATCTGGGGGAAGTAAAGGTAGACAGTCTCGTACGAAGTCGCTCTCACTGTGGTCGCCCTGAGTGTGGTCGCTCTGAGCGTCGTCTTCGAAATCGTCGTTGGCTTCGACGCTCAGGGAGCGAACGCGATCTGTAAGATCCTTGGAGCAGGAGAAAGATCGTAGCAGTAGCGATACACTTTTCGTGCCGGTGAGTTGTACATTTCGGTAAAGCTCAGGTGTACCGATGGAGAGGGTCCGTTTAGAACAGAGCGAGAAGTGGCAGATGTCCTGCTGGCCCTGATTTGCTAGTAGTTTGGCGATTTCAAGCAGCATCTCGTCCGGCAATCCTTCGATACCTGTGGGTGGCATTGTCCAAAAATAAAGTCCAGCAGGGCGTATCAGGGAGTAAAGAGCTAATACCGAGATCTTGTATGTTTTCGATTGGCTCCTGGAAGGTTGGATGGGGATGAAGGAAGGACAAGGACAAATAAAAATTGAGTATCTGGGCTGGATAACCTTAATATTTAGGAAAGTACGCCGAGGAGGCTGGGCATCCAATCATGAATCTGCTCCAGGACACAAAGAACTTTTTAAAAAGCTCGGCGGGCAATATAACTAAGCTTGATAAATCTGCCAAGAAGTATCTCATAAATTTGTCTTCCTCCACCTTTCTTTTATGGGGAAGGTCTTTTTGGATCGACTCTTTCAAATCCAAGGTGACTGGGCCTCATATAGTTCCGCTACCAGGATTGTATGTGTTGCGCAATACGTAAGTATGAGTGGCCATCTACCCGCCATCTACCCTACTTCATCCCAACAGAAAGTGTCGCATCTGTGAACTCACTCTAGAATTACGCCGTTCACACGGAGAGTAAGTTTTCAGGACAAGCACCTCTCACCAAGTCAGTGACCGCGATCGCTGCATGGGTAGATGATATTCTACCTCAACACGTCAAGTGCAAGGTCACGTCAACTCGGTACTTCGCCCGGATAGGGTTGGCGAGGAAGAAAGCCCGAGGCAATGCGGTAGTCCACACGAAACCATCGCCGCACTTGGAGATGCCGTAACAATCACCGCTTCCTAGCAGGTGTGAATGGAGTGCCATTGAGAAGTACATTTTGCGGACCAACTAATGCATCAGAGGGAATGAAAATTCACGGATGTGATCACGTTGGTTTAAAAAAGCAACGCAGTGCCAATCTCACTCTACGACTCCGTCTCGAAAGGGGTCGAAAACGTGCGGAGCGGTAACGACGGCACGAGAAGTCCTCAAAATGGCGCACGGGGGCGGGCGACGGGGTTGAAGACTGAGACGAGGGCAGCGGTGGCACCTGCAGAGGCAGGCAGCAATGTCAAGGATGGTCCCGCCCAAGAACAAGGGGCATAGATGAGGTACTTAATCTTGGTCTGCCCCGAGTTCTTCGTTTTCCTCACCCTCATCCTTCTACACTTCTCACCATGCCTCGTAAATCGACACCGACTCTTTCAAGACGCCGCTTGGAGTGCTTTACGCGAGACAAGCTCTTCAGTGAAATCCATTCTATCACTGAGATACCACCCCCCAATGACTCGTGGGGATCGATTCTTTCGCAGCACTTGACCGGCTCAATTCTTGACGATCTTTCCAACCTTCAGACTCACTTGGAGAACGTCACGAATGACGCGCTGATCGACTGCGCCCTAGCACTCCGATCCGCGCTCGAATCCACCATTATGGCGCCGAGGGGCAGGAAACGACGACCCGGCTGTGCTATCCAAATGACCACAGGTGAGGACTTGTTGCGTGCCAGAATGCGCAGGCTGCAGGGCCGTTCGAAGGCACATCATTCTTCCTCGTGGAAAGTGGTACGGCGTAAAGCCAGTGACGACAACAGCACGGGTCGGCTTCAAGATACACAGGATCTATTCGCCGACTACCGACGCGGAATTGAATCACAGAGGGACGTGCTCGCAGCACAGAGAGACGAGCTCGCAGCACAGAGGGACGAGCTCGCAGCACAGATAGACAAACCTGCGGCGACATTGCGCACTATAGAGGAGGAAAACTCTCGGAAGGACAAGGTCATCAAGGACCTTAACGACCAACTACAGAGTACCTCTCTAAATACTTCCGACGGTTTTTGCGAGGATACCAGCACAAGCTGGACTGGCGGTGTCATTACTGGCGGTGTTAACGAGGCATGGCCTGCTCCGTCAGCGGTGGACCGATTGATGTGCTTAAGTTGGGGTCCAATGTCAGAGGATGATCAGTTTATCCAAGGCGACGAGGTCCCACAGTATCACTCATGGACGACAGACGTCAGCGAGTCGGAAGGTGGCCAATTCTCCGCGGCATCACAGGTGCTTTTCCCACCTAGATGTTGCGATCGGATGCCAGTGGCCTTGACAAATGAAGGCTGCGAACTCTGCCAAATTCACTGTGAGCTGTTCACATGGGTGTCTACCGCAGAGATGGGTATGGGTCCTTATGTGGGGCTCACCCCCTGTCCGGCATGCAACGGGCCAGGTTGTAAGTGGGTTCAATTGAGTGGCAACTTGACGAACTAAAGGATGGTTTCGTGGACGTGTGATGAAGCTGATTTCCCAGTCACCTTGCATATTCAGAAACCATATTGTACTTAGTTCAGATACTTGTCTAAAATGCGGTTCCCAGTTTTCTTGACCACTTCCACCGCAAGCCTACTTCCAACCGCCTCTCTTTCGTGGTCGAGCGGCCAGTCTCACCTCTTCACCCGCTATGGATGTGTTCGAGTCAATGTCTTTCGGCGATATCACAAACATGGTCACCTGCTTGAGAAAAAACACGTTGGTATATGTAACGAGAATGCCTCGACCAATAGTGGCCGATCAGATGGCGACAAGGGTTCCCAGGGCTAGTAGTAGCCAGGGAGCGAGGAGCCAGGGCCAACACACGATGATGTATTCCGGACCGATCCTATTTCCGGAAATGTGGCGGATCACACCTATTCTCACAAGTGTCACTCTGAGCTGAGACGGGGCGCGTTTTCATCACCCGCACCGAGACCTCGAGTAGTGATACCGACTAGCCGCAGCCGACTCGCGCAACCATATCCACAAGTGGATCTCCCTATGGCCTCCGCAACGATAAAACCACCGCGGCTCTCGACCGAGGTAAGAGGTTGACCACCTGGTCATCAAGTTGATCATCCACCTCTAAGAACGAAACGCAGGGGCTCAACAATGGCTGGTGGACTCAATAAACATCACCAACTATTCAGAGCGACGAACCAAGTGAAGGCCACAAGTGACGAATGGCCAAGCGATAGTGACTCTAACTCCAGCAACGATGGCGACGGTAAGCTCGCCACAGCTTGGGCCCTAAATCAAAGGCCAGGGCAACGAATACGGCAGCTGTCAGAAATATCGAAACCTATCGCAAATCCGAAGGGGAAGTTACGAAATGGTGGTCATACGAGCTCCCCTGGCTCTCATTCGCAATCAGGGATTAGGGTGCTCCCCCGGGGTGCAGAGGGCGACCAGAAAGTCAATTGTACTACAGGTATCCTCCGTAACGATAGTACGGCGGCGACCAACGATTCACCGATACTACTGAATCCCAACGTCACTCCGGTGATGTCGACCGAAGCCACCGTCCTGACAGTCCTTCTCACTGATATAACCGAGATCGGGGCGCTACTGAAGTCCCCGCTAGCCTGGGGGATCACCGGAGATCTCTTCTCCAGGGCCAAGCTAGTTAACGCCACTATCAAACCTTACACATCACAAAAATGGCAAGTGATTGCCACCTTTGGCCGGACTAGTAGTCCTATACAAGAGACTTTAAACCCCGGCTTCGATAACGAGGTCATCACTTCAGATGTCGATAGGGATGACTCCGCAAGCAGTATGAACAGTATTCACCATTACTCTTCGGACCATGACCCGAAGCTCGAATATAGGGGAATTAAGCGTGGGGTTCAGGTTGAGACAGACGATAAAAACTTGACTAAGTGGAGGCGCGATGGCAAATCAGGACCTTGGATCTGGCCAAAATTTCCAGATCAACCAAAAGTAGGTGTTAATTCACACTGGTATATGGTCCAGTGTCACGATACAGATCAAAAAGATCGTGATCCACGATCTAAGAGTGGGAAGGGGTCGGCGAGCGGTAGTTATATGGACATAGGAGGACGATAAAGCTGAGGCCGGTGAAGCATAGTGCAAATCGGCGCCAATACATTCAGTGAATCAACTGTTTCAAAAATAAGAATGTTACAGTACGAGGTTTCGTAGCTGCGATCGAATGGACTTTGATAGTGAGGATGGATAGCAGTACAGCCCCCGAAAGCCGTCAATTTTGCGGACATATTTTTGCATTTCTCTTCCACTACGCTAGTAGGCCCACACTACTCTAGATCTAGTCTAGCGCTGGTTTTGATATAGTATATATCGGTGGACAATGTGGGCGCTTATTTATAAAGACTCCATAATTTCACCTATAAAATAGGCAGCCGCGCCAAGATGAGGCTGTTAGGACAATAAAATTCTCTGTAGGCTTCTAACAAAGTCACTTTCATTCCGAAGACTTTCCTCTCGAAAATGGGACAATACTGGATTGTCACGTCGCCCGAACAGCGTCAACAACTATCGACGCTTGCTTGAGGCAAACTTGGAGCGATATTTCCCGGTGGAAACGCTGGTGGGTTTCTGGAGCAGCTCCTAATGTGCCACTACATAAGCAGTCCGTTCCCTCTGAAAATCTCGCCAGGTTGCAAGCTCACCTTCAGGTAGAAAAGGTTTATTTAGATCGCAAGTGAACAGCACTATGTATCCCGAGCAGTGCCCAACACGAACAGATATGCAGCTGCCAATTAATGATAGGGAGAAAGGGTACATCGCTCAGTCCATCAGAACTGTGTTGATGAAACTCTTTGATGAATATTTTGGGCTTTGGGCCTCTCAAAAAGTTGTCTGTGTGGGAGACTACGCGACAGAACGACCACCAATACTCGAACACATTCAAGAAAGGCTCTACGATCCAGACCTTCCCGAAATCTTCTGCCTGCACCTTCAGCTGCGTGACATGCGAGATTCACTGGACAGTCAGTCTCAGAGAATTTTCGACGATGTCTACTCAAAAGTTCAGGAAACAAATTTCCCTACGCATCAGGAATATATTTTACAAAACTGCACTGTCAAGCAGTTTGTCCGTAACCATTTTCGTAATACACCTCTCTGAACTAGTCTAGCGTACGAAAGGGATTCGTCGATTTGGAACCTTAGAGACATCGTCCTATCCCGGATCTGCTGGACCCAGGGTTCTTCGACAAGTATGAAATGCAGCCTAGACTTAGAGGGTGTTTAGGTTGGTCATAGCTTCGCAATTATCGCCGTATCAGTCTTCGATGAAATAACTAGTGGACGGGAGGGTTGGAAGGACGTCACTACAGAGTGCTGGGAAGGACTTGCCTATAACGGTAGGGCACATATGAGATGGAGAAGACTCTAAGGATATATATTTCTATATAACGAGAGACTAAACTAAGAGAAAGGAGAAAGGAAGGAAGAGAGAAAAGGGTACGGTACTATACTTTTATATAGCGACTACTCCTACTAAGACTCTAGTATACTAAGTCGTTCTTCTTATATAACTAATTAGAGATATACGCTTATCCCGTATCTCGTCCGGGATAATATCGGCCTATTGCGGTTCGTCTTTATTTAGCGTAGTGTTGACCAGTATAGGACATATCGTCGAGTCGGGATAGATCTAGTCAGATCTGGTCTTATCTGTGCTCACGGCCGTGACATTACCACCATTTGGTGTACCGAGGGCCTTAGATAGTCGATTTTGTACCTGTAAATTGAAAGTCGTTCCTCCTTCTAGGTTTCACAAACTATTTATATTTCCACCTTATTCTCGTTCTAGATACTATACGTAGTTTCATCGATTAAGTATTATTACTTAGACCTCACTAATCTAACTATTTTAAGAGGAATAGGGATTTCATAAGACAGCGGAAGATGATAGCTCGGCTGCATAACTTTCTTTCTCCTAATATGGAGAAGGACTAATACTAACGTACCGCTATCGAGGGCCTAGCGGTATGGAGAAGACTCTGATGGCGCTGGAGACCGCCTTTCAGTTTTGTGATCAGGATTTGGGCTGCTCGATGTTCTTAGGTCCCTACGGTCGGCGTGGCCAGTTTGCGAAATGCCTACTACAGGAAGGGACTCGGTAAAGCATTCCGATACACTAGGGAGCATAGGCGGCCTTATAGTCGTGCTACACCTATAGAACAGTACGGAGAGAGCGAGTCACTGCACAGAAAGATCCTTACTCTACGGAAGAATGAGCTCGGAGGAAACATCAAGATCTAAAGAGCATTGAAAATAATAGTCCTTCGGCAACGACAGAAAGTACTGGTATAACAAGGAAGAGAAGGCGCGCCAACAGACCTTGATACTTAGAAAGAAAGTGCAGCATGAACAAAATATCATTACTTTTTCGGCAACAGAGCAAGTACGAGGAAGCTGAACAGACCATTCAATCAATCCTGTGTGGGATTGGAAAATTGTTTGACCTGTCGAAGGCGGTATCTACCTCAGGGCTTGAGACGCTGGCGAAAGAAGTAAATTCATACGCTATTTCTGGAGGGTTTACCTACTATTCCCGACATGGGAGTGGAATATTTCTCGAAATGTCCCTAGAATTAGGGTCTTTATAAGCAAGGCCCATATTATACTGTGGTCGCTGATCGAAATTTAAGCTCGACCAAATATTAGACTAGATCTAGAAAAATGGACCCACTGAATTACGTAGAAATCTGTTTCGGGAACGACTGTAATATCGTAGTGAATTTAGTTTAGGAAATCGTTTTCTTCCTTTACTGTGCTGAGATTCCTACTCTTTTCGCTTTCAATCTCCCGCCAGAATCTCGACGTGACTAATCGCCTTCCCAATATCGCTAATCTCCATTGGTGGTGCAATATCAGGATATTGACTTTCAAAGATTCTCGTTCCATTGAGCCGATGCCGTAGGTTTTGTCGTGTTGAGTACATGAGATAGTAAGATTATCCGTCTTGAACTATACTCTCTGTATTAGGGGGGGAATCGATATCGCTCCATTTGGTAGTATTTAATGTAGGTCGGGAGACGCTAACTAGTTGAGGCCACGAAGATATACACTTAAAATTGTATTCTTTATACTTGTATAGGTCAGCTAGTCCCTAGTCGACGGGAGTATTATAAGGAACTATCGATAAATAATAGATAGCTTTGCGTGCGCCTTACTAGGAGATAGTGTACGCAGCGGTGCACACTGCGCCTTCTGAACGGAAAACTATTCTCGTTCGTTCGCCGCTATCAGGGCTAGTCCACTAGTGGCTTATATCTAGCTCTGCCATATTATTGTTATGTAATTGAGATAGAAGGATAGTAGGATCGCTAGGGATGACGAAGAATCGACGGTTATTTTCTGATAATACCTAGGTACCGCAATGGCCGATCCAAAGTATATCCTAATCATCACTATATGGAGAGTGTAGTATATCTCGTTCTATAGTATCCACGAGGAATCTTAAGCCTCTAGCAAATTGAACGAGTTGGTGCTTTAATACCATATCTCAGTCGGTATCGTCTTCGAAGACTAAGGCGGTAGATACTCTTTTATACACTATCTTCTAATAGATATTAATATATACACGCCAACACCCAATAACGTTCGGTTTCTAGCTTATTGTCTATAAATATTAGTAATAATTAAGTAGCTTATATCTAAGGTAGACACACGTATAGTAACGCCTTTACGGGAACTTTATCGCCCTATACTCTATCCATAAGAGTATATAAGATTTCAGAAAAAGCCGCCTATATAGCAAAGATATCTTACTTGTCGGTCCGTTCTGGAAGGGAGATCATATATATCTTTTGGAAACCTAATGTCTCATTATACAGTAGGCTTCAAAAAGTCACCGACCACTAGTTCCTTGGCACCCACTATTGAAATACCTCTCCACCACACTCAACCATTAATTACTCTACCAATAATCATCTGTTTGAGTTCTAGTTTGTTTGTCTCTATGCCTGAGCGTCGTGAGTACACGGATTTCGAAAGAGGAACAGTTTATGGCCTATCTTTAGCTGGTAAATCTGAGCGGGATATCGCTACAATTACAAATATTCCGAAGACCACAGTACATGACATTATACAAAAACCTCAACTAGATAAGAACGCTCGTACAGGAAGACCTCGAATTCTGACCAAAAGGACTCAAAGACTCATACTACGTACTGTCAAACTTACACCTAGAATTACGTACGCACAGTTGAGAAATCGACTTCAGATTGATGTCTGTGATAATACTATTCGTACGGTCCTTCACACTCACAATATCAAGAAATGGATGGCTAAAAAGCGTCCTCGATTGACGGATAAGCATGCCAAAGTAAGGTACGAATGGGCTTTAGCTCATAGAGACTGGACCTGGGAAGATTGGTGTCGTGTTATCTGGTCGGACGAATGCTCTATTCAACGCGGTTCAGGTAACAGAAGAGAATGGGTCTTCCGTACGCCCCAGCAGAAGTGGGATAGCGATAAAATCACACCTAAAGGACTGGACCAGGATATCTCAATCATGATCTGGGCAGCAATCTGGGGAGACGAGAAATCGGACGCCTATATCCTATCGCGCGATTAGCAGTCCGCAAAGATGGGATATTCAGCTAATTCCTATATTCAAGTTCTTGAAGAGAACATTCCTACTTACTAGGAGCCGGGCAGGATATTCATGCAAGACAATGCGCCAATTCACAAAGCTAAAAAGGTCACGGAGTGGCTTAGAGATCATGGAATAGTGTTGATGGGATGGCCGCCATTTTCACCAGATCTGAATCCGATTGAGAACCTCTGGTTTGAGCTCAAATGTCTCGTCAACGCAATCGATCTAGAACTTCAAAACACTAAAGGAGACTCTCAAGAGGTACTGGATCGATTTGCAAAGGCTATTACAAAGGCCTGGGCTAGTATCGATAGGAAAAAGATCAAGAATGCCGTGAAGAGTATGGACGAGAGGGTCAACGCTGTTATTGAGGCCAAAGGCTGGTATACGCGATTTTGATCTGGAAGACCTGATATTTGCGTACTACGACATCTGGGCTATTAAATGAGCTATAGCATAATTATTTATCGTACGAACTGAGTGAGAAATCAATACATTAGGGATGGTGGTGTAGGATTCTAGTGGTTGCCAAGACTAAGGTGGTCGGTGACTTTTTGAAGCCTACTGTATATCTAATGGAGAGACTCGAAATATTGGCTCGACTCGATAGTAGATTTCGCTCGCGCCCCTTCAAGAATCGTAGGAAAGGCTTCTTGAAGGTCAAAAAGGTCGTGAGCTTCAGGATCAGGTACTCGAAAGGAGGTGAAGAATAGCGCGAGGGTTAGAAGGGCAATAGCCGCCAGGAATCGAAGACGTATACCCGCTATAGAAATCATTATGCTCACGATGTATGGACGAAATTATTGAGGTCGAATCCAATTTTCGCCACTACTTCGCTCGGGGACACTAAATCTTAAAAATATATCTAATTTACAGTAGAACTAGTCAAGTAAAACTCTATATGGATCACGATAATAAATATTTCACACTATGATGAGCGGACTTAGTAAAGAGCGGCGGAGGTTAGTAGGCTTCCTATAGGACTTTGAAAAGCTGAGATTACACCGATAGAGTAAACCAAAGCAGATGGACTAAGAAAGCTCCTAACTATAGAATACCTATCCCTCGAAATCTTAATACGGATATCATGTTCGCCACCCTTAGGTACTAAACAATTTTAAAGGCCTTTCGATCGTAAGCCCTCCCACTCCCGCACCTCAGATCGCCCGGTATCTTCGGGAAGTAATATGACGTATTCGTCGTGGTAACCACCAAATATTCTTATGCGCTTTAGTCTTATATAATGGAGCGATACCATATTACCTAGCGCAATCAATAATAAGTTCTTCGAGAGAAAAAGCAGTTATTAGAGAGCCTTAGGGTGGGATCGTTAGACGGAGAGTTAGAGGGTTAAACACGTATCTATATTATATAAAGCTATCCTTAAGATATCGACTTCTCGCACTATTAAGGGTCTCTCTAGTAGTGCGAGAATAGAGGTCCTATTTATCTCTTTCTATATATATCTA